CCGCTCCCCTCCCCTCCCCCTTGGCCAGGAAGGGTCTGGGGCCGCCCCTGCTCTTGGCCCCAAGGCTGTTCGTGCTCTTGGGCCCCCTCCCCCCCTTTCACCCCCTTACCCTTCTTTCACCAGCCCCAGCTCTTTGCCCCTGCCTCTGAGGCTATCCTGGCTCTTGCTCCTCCTCCCCCGCCAGTCCCTTCTTCCCCACCGGCCCTGGCTCTTTCCTTCTCCCCAGCTGCCTAGGAGTGGGGCCTGGGCCAGATTGCACCTGGCTCTTCCCCCACTGCTGCTGGAGTGGGAGGGATGCTCACCAGGGCCTTGCAGGCTCCATGCTCTTCTCTCCAGTCGCTGGGGAAAGGAGAGGAGGGAGACGGCCAGGCTGCAGCAGAAAACTGGAGAGAGGGGAGAGGGAGGAAGGGACTGCAGGACCCAAAGCGACATGATGACATCACGCTGTCATCCCTCAAGAAACACTTTTGTATATGTATATATGCGTGTGTGTGTGTGTAATATATATATATATATATATTAGAGAGAGAGATTTTCATAAGCAGCTAAGTGAAAAATAAAATAGATTGGGGGATAGGGAAGGCTGGAACCAACCCCTCTCTAGACCTAACTACCCCGCTGCCTATGCTTGTTTCTTCTCTTTTCAAGAGAGAAAATGTGCACCATGGACCTTTCTACCCTGTCCAGAATTTTTTGGGATCTTTCATTTAAATGTCTTCCTGTTACAAAGCTAATGGGAAAAAGAAGCTCCCACCCATAGTGGGCCTGGCTTGCTGAGCTGCTGGCAGGGGCCGCCACTGCAGCCTTCCCCCGCAGTTGGGGAAGGTGGGAGAGGAGGGAGTGGTTCTAGCCCAGCCCTCCCCCCTCTCACCTCCATTTAATCGGTTAACTGGTTAAACTTAATATTTAAACCAGTTAACTAATGAAATGGGATTTTATATCCCTAGTAGAAATGCTTGAAAAATAATTAAATTATGTAGTGATTTGATGCATGGTAAATAGATATTTATAAATGAATTACCTCATACACACAGGAATTTAGAGAAACCTTCTCCATTTAATATAGAGGTAGCCTTTATAGCATATATAGTGTTAGGGTAGCTGTTTGAATACACATACTGAGGACCATTTTTCTCTTTAGTATATAACCTGTAACTGACACTGTCCTTTTTATAACGTGTTCATCTCTTTTATCAGAAGGTGGCAGTAGTACACAATCAGTTTAGTGTCTTGTACAGGGTTCCAAATGACTTTTGAAAAGTCAGGTTCAATATTATCCTGAAAAATTAAACCCTTGTACCAACTAAAGAAAGTATGAGTATAAATAGTTATCTTACTTTAATTTCTATAGAGATGCTATGCTGTAGATAGAAGTTAGCTATACTTACTGCAATATTTATCTAGATATTGCATCTATCACTGTAAGACCTGAGAGCTAGATAAGCTGATGACTGCAGCAGTCCTGTTTCATAGAAGTTTGGTTTGCTAAATAATGCATGTTGTTGTTTTCGACCCTTCTCTATTAAAAGCACAACTGAATGTGCTAATCTCTTTCTGCTCTCAGACATTTTTTCCATAGTGCTGCTTAAAGTCTGTATAGTTTCTTTTTTTTTTAGTGGAAATTTAGACTTAGAATAACAATTTTACTTTCTGACAGATTCTTATGTGGTATTTTAAAGCTTGTTTCCACAGCTCCTTACATGCACAGCTATTGATTTAATCCTCTGTTCTCTATCCACAAATGCCATTTTTACTCAAGATGAAAAATAATGAAGAATAAGAACTCTAGAGAGAGGGGTACTACATATGTGCTTATGCAAGCATTAACATCTATTAAGTGGATTTTTAATACATATGGTTATGTTTTTTCTAGATGACGTAATTAGCCCAAATGGGGAATCTTCTGTGACAGCCATGACTCTTCCAAGCGAGTCAAGGATTAATATACATGCCATAACTGCATTAAAAGTATTACAATATAGGTGAGTGTTTCACAAGGCTATCTATTTCTAGCACTGTTAGAATACTTTCTTATTTTACATTTCCTTCATTTTCAGACTCTCATTGATGGAGCTGGACAAAAAAATGTTGATGAAATTTTTCTGTCAAAAAAAAGCCCTACGTTGTTTTATTAAAACTGGAATGTTTTGTAGAAATGTATCAGTTTGGACAAAAAAAATTTGTCAAGAAGGTTTCTTGGGTTAAAGCTGCTAGAGAGCTCATTCAGAACTGCCTGGTGGTTAGTGCATACACCTAGAATGTGTGGATATGGGTACGTCTAGACTACATGCCTCTGGCGACATGTAGATTAGACTACCCGGCATAGGAAAATGAAGCGGCAATTTAAATAATCACCGCTTCATTTAAATTTACATGGCTGCCGCGCTGAGCATACCTGGGAGGTCGACAAATGCCTTTGATGTCGACCGCGGAACGTCCAGACTTCCGCGCTGATCCGACAAACAGCTGATCGGCTCAGTGTGGCAGCCATGTAAATTTAAATGAAGCGGTGATTATTTAAATTGCCGCTTCATTTTCCTATGCCGGGTAGTCTAATCTACATGCCTCTGTTGCCAGAGGCATGTAGTCTAGAAGTACCCTATGTCTACACTGCAGCTGACACTTTCATGGTGCTTGGGCTGTGAAGCTGTTCATTTGCAGTGTAGATGTTTAGGCTCAGGCTGCAGCCTGATCTCTGAGACACTCTCAACCTTTCAGTGTCCTAGAGCCCAGGATCCAGCCAGAGCCTGGGACATCTACACGTCAGTTAATCAGTCCTTTATCGTAAGTCTCACAAGCCTGAGTCAGTTGGCATAGACCAGCCATGCGTTTTTAATTGTAGTGTAAACATGATCAAATTTCAAGTCCCTGCTCCAAATAAGGTAGGACCTGAGTCTCCATCTCCCACATCCCAGGTAAGGGCCATCAGCACCACTCTGTTGTCTATTCTAGGGTCTTCCTCTGTTTGTGTCTCTCTCACAAACGTGGGTTTTTTGTGAAAAATTCCAAAGGTCTCGTTTTCTTTCCAACTGGGAATCAAAACAAATTCCAAGACCTCTCATGTTTTTGCAAGGCAGAATTTTTGTTTTCTGGCCAGCCCTATATGGTACGTACTGGACACAAAGAGATCCCAAACTTGTACATGTCCTGGTGTACTCTTGCTTCTGTGTCTTTTTATTTTGTGTGCCCCAGAACAAGCAAATCTGAATTGCATCTAACATTTATCATGGCAGAGTTTCTTTAAAGCTTGCTGAAATGTTAATGCCTCAGACATTTTAGCACCTTTTATCAGCTCTCAGATGTGTTAGGAATATTAAGAAATCACCCTCTCCAAACCCCTTCATGGTTTTTAAAGGAATCTCTGCAACTGCTTTTGAAATGTAAGCAATACGTCACAGGTTAGACCAGGAAGTAGAAAAAATACTACATCCATTTGAAATTGCAACGTATCACAATGTAATGCTTAGAAATGGAATAGGGCCAGAACAATAGGGTTAATGCCCTTTCTCTAATAAAAAGTGCTGTGGGATCTTTAATTACCTCTGATGTTCAGAAATTCAGCTTTATTTTTTCCCTGAGAGATGATATCTTCAGCATCAGCAAGCCTGCCGACCGGGGAAAAGGAGCGGGTAAAAGGGGCAACTGCATTGGGGGCTGGCAATTCAAAAGGGCCTGGGGCTCCTGGCCACTGCCACCACTGCAGCAATGGCAGCTAGAGTCCCAGACCCTTTAAATTGCTGATGGAGCCACGGGTGCCACACTCTGGGTAGTGCTAAGAGCTGGCTGGTGGCGGGAGGCGAGGAGTGTGGCGTGGTCTTGGGTGATGCTGAGGGTTGGCTGCTCCTAGCCGCACACCTTCTGCCTGAGGTCCCATCCTGTCTGTGAGTGTGAAGCCAGGCCTCCTCCCACTTTGTCCAGGGGCCTGGCAATTCTGTCAGCCCTCTTGAGCACCAGGGACCCCGCAGCACTATCCTGGGGCATTGGTTCTGAGGTAAGAGTGCCCTTTGTGTAGTCCCAACATCTTTTTCTCTGACACTTCCATGTTTGAGGTATTGATATGGCCCAACACTGCTTATCTTCTAAGGACTGAAAACAGATCCGGATCACCATGCGAGGAGATAAAATGGCTTTTTTGCAAGCTTTCATGGCACCATGTGCTGATAGCCTCCTGGTTAAGCAGAATTACAAAATATGCACATTTCAATAAATTCTTCTGTCCATTATCTTTCTAAAAGAGGAAAAATGTTCAGTTAATGAACAGAGTCATTTACATGTTACTTTGCTAAATAAGATGTCTTTTATTTAGTGAGAAGCAAGCAGCTGTGATTCCTGATGAAATATTTAATGCAGTTGGAAGCAATTCTGTCTCTACTGTAAACTTTAGCAAGAATCAGCTCACTGAAATTCCAAAAAGGTAGGGCTACTCCTTGGTCAGTGTCATTTCACATCCTAATAATCCTTTTCTCTTTTTGACTATAAGCAGTGCATTAAAATGTTGTGTTTTTAATCTTGTTGCCAAAAATATTTACTCTGAATCATAATTTTTAGTTGAAGACATATTTTATGTTACAGTATTATGAATAGGATGATTGTACCTTTTGTTAATGGTAGGTGAAAGAATCGTAGCTAGGAGAAGATATGGCCAAGTAGTACTTTCATTACACATATACAAGTGTGAGTGTGAGGGGGGGGATTGTTCTTGGTTTACTAAGTGTTGATACAAATGAGGAGATAATAAAAATACAGAACAACCCATTGACTAATGTGGTGAATCTGTAGGACCATAAATGGTTCACCTTTCCCTATCCAAAGAAATAATTAGTGTGGGTCCAGTACTTTGAGAGCTTGACAGCTCTGTGCTGTAAATGAGATACAATTTCTGCAATAAGCACGTTCCACATTTTTCCCCTTCAGTAATTGTCTGACATCCTCTCCCAGCATGAAACCACTACAGTTTTTACCTCCAAAATCTGGCACTTTCTAATCTGGCAGCATCTGTGATCTGGCAGGACCATGGATGCTCCTGGAACAGAGATCCTGGGAGCCTAATGGCAGGAGAGCCTGGGGGCAGTGCAGGACAGGGGCTGGAGCCCCCCAGCAACTCTGGGAGCGCAGGGCTGGAGTCCCTGTGGCAACCCCCAAGAGTGTGGTGTTGGATTCCCGTGGCATCCCCCAGCTGTGCAGGGCCAGAGCCCCAGTCCCATGGCTGGTCCCGGTTGCTTGGAGCCGGAGCCCCAGCCCTGTGGTTGTTCCCAGCTGTGCAGGACAGGCCCCAGCCCCACAGTTGCTCCCGGTTGCTCGGGACTGAAGCCCCGCAGCAGGAGCCAGAATCTGTGCTGCCCAGGGAGCCAGCAGTAGCTGGGCAAGTAGCCCAGCTAGGTTGTGGGGGAGCTAGTGTGAGGGAGGAAGGGGAGGCAGGGTTCCCTGATAGGGCAACTTGCCAGCAGTGGGTGCTGAGCTTAGGGGATGGTGGCAGGAGACCCCTCCCGGGTCTGGCAGATTCTCTTGTTCGGGACCAGTCAGGTCCTGACGATGCCTAACCAGGGAGGTCCAATCTGTAGTACTGTAGCACTAGATATTATTAGTCTTCATTCTGCCTCAATGCAAGTCCATGAAAAGCATTGCAATAACTTAAGTGGGAGCAACACAGTCTTCTGTTTGTAAAGCATTTAAGAGTGTGCTGTACAAGATTAAAAAGGAAGACATGATCCCTGCCCCAAGGAACGTACAGACTGCAACATGAATTACTGTATTTTGTGGCCTCAAGAAAGAAGTGAGTTTTCAGGAGGGATTTGAATGTTGAACTTGATTCTGAACAGGGCAGTCAACCTCAGCTCTCCTATCTGGCCCAGTAGCTTTGTGGCTTACGCTAGAAGCCACAAGTCAGCACTGCCAAGCCACCATCCATGCAGTGAGGTAGAGATGAAGAATCAGAAAGAGAGTCCACCCAGGAGAAGGAAGAACCACAATCCCCACAATCCTGATTAGGGCATCTAGAAGATATAGTAAAATAAAAATGAATATTTAGTAAGAAGAATATCTATCCTAGTGTTTTGACAAGAAGAATTTATAAGCAGTACTACCTAGACACTAAAAAAGGTGAGCAAAATAACATGCAGCCTTCTGTGTGTCTGTTTCTTGCAGTTACACAGTACTTTGCATTCATACCACAGTTTTGATCTTGCAGTTCTTATTCAAACAAAACTTGTATTATCTTAATGGGAGTCTCACTTAAGTAGAAGCTGTAGGATTGAGTCCTGCATACATGCTTCTGGGAAAGGACCCTCTCTTCATATGTTTTTCCTAAAGCTGTACAATAAGGCTATGATCCTGACTGAAGTCCCTAATCAGCACTGTAATATAAGTATATAATAATCGTATATGTCTGCATGTCTCTTATAATGGACTAGGACTCCATTGTACTAGGCACTAACAAAAACAAATAAAACTGACAGGGACAGCCATTTTGTTCTATCTCCTGTATGAAAATCTCTCGTTAATGCAAGTGTATTCCTAGAATACTGTAGAAAAATCAGTTTATTAAACCAGTATTTGTGTCTATACGTAAACATCTCCATTTGCTTAGTCACTGTGTTAAAGACTGGGGGAGAAAGGTGTCAGTGCATGACATATATCGGGTGGGGAAGATGTTTTGGGTCAGAGGGCCCCGTTCCACAGAAAAATCGGTCAGGGACTGCACATAAGTGAGAAGGGGGGGGGGGGGAAAAAGCTCTTTGCTGACATGGCTTAAATGAATAGCTGCTTGACAGAAAGGAGTTTCAGGAGGCATGGAGAGATGAGTACTCTACATGTTAATTGCCTTCCTTAATCGGAGGGATTTCAAATAACTTCATGAACTTCCAAATTGTTTAGATGGGAGTATCTCAAAATTACCTCAGCACGCTACTTACCAGAGCAACAAATATTAGGTTCTCTGTAATTCACAGTAATCATACAATGAAACAGAAATGAAAGACTGGAGCAACATTGACATTAATTTCAACATTAAATAAGCTATTGCATTTCATTGTGGCTACTGAGAAGAGTGACTCCTTTGGTTCCTTTTACAGTATTTATAGTGTGGAAGTTAATGAAAGTCCAGTCTATTTTTGCCACAGTTTTTTGAAATGTTTTGTTTGCTGACTGCACTTTAATAGTAAAGCAGATGAGTGAGAGCAATCTTAGAAAGTTAACTTTGGGCATTTTTTGTTTGCATTTAAATTTAATCCTCAGTCAACTTTGATAAGTGCATCTCCCATTATTTTCTTCCTGCCAACATTGCTGTGAAATCCCACAGAAAATCCCCGACTTGTCAATGAAAGTTCCATTACAAGAAAGTTGTTTTTTTATAAATTACACAATTAAAAATAAGATGATGTACTCATGTAATAAAACTTTATTTTAATGGGTTGCAGGATCGTGGAGCTGAAAGAATCAGCCTGTGATGTCAATCTTGGCTTCAATAAACTCTCTTCGATTTCCTTGGAGCTCTGTGTACTTCATAAATTGACACATTTGGATATCAGGTGTGTGATCTTTGGCTGGCCTTCCTTTTAGAGTAATTTCTTTTCATGCCTTTTTAAGCTATCCATTTGGACAGCATAGCAGTATTCAAATCTTTAATTTTTGCTTCTGTGACAGTCGAACAATTGGCAGGCTTGAAGTTAAATTAGGGGTGGGCAATAATTTTTGCGGGTGGGGGCACACTTAATGAATTTTACTATGCAGTCATGGGCCGGCTTCACCCCCGGAAGGGGCGGGGCTGTGGATTAGCCTCTCTCCAGAGTACAGGCAGTCCCCGGGTTACATGGATCCGACTTGCATCGGATCCCTACTTATAAACGGGGTGAGGCAACCCCGCACTAGCTGCTTCCCCCCAGCAGACCAGGGAGACGCGAAGCTAGTGTCCCCCCCGCCCAGCAGACCAGGGAGAGGTGGAGCGGCTTTTCTCAGCAGACACTTCAGCTTGAGAATAAAGGGCTGAGGGAAGTGAGGTGTGGGAGAATAAAACTGAGCTCTGGAGAAATGTTTGGCTAGAGTTTCCCCTACAATATGTACCAGTTCCGACTTACATACAAATTCAACTTAAGAACAAACCTACAGTCCCTATCTTGTACGTAACCCGGGGACTGCCTGTAGTCTGGGACTGGAGGCTTTGAATTAAAAACACAATAAAGGGCTCACAACTCCTGGCCCCATCGCTATTGCCTTGCCTAGCAGGCACCCAGGGTTGCTGCAGCTATTTAAAAGGTTCGTGGGTCCAGCCCCTACTGGGGTAGCGCTGTGACCATGAGCTGTGAGCCATTTAAATAGGATCCTGCTGCCTGAGCCACTGCCTGGAAATTCGGTGGCACAAGCAGCAGGATATGAATAGAAAGTGGCAAGATGCAGTCCATGGGCTGGATCAAACTGTTAGGAGGGCCAGATCGGCCCTCAGTCCACATCTTGTCCAGCCCTGAGTTAGATGATGATCAGGTGGCCTAGACCTAACCATTGAAAATTGATCAAGTAGAAAAGCCCTAAGTAAATAAGACATGATCTGGCAGAAATATACTGCCTCAGCAATGTAAAGGTTCTCATGGAGTTCAAATGACTTTGGAAAAAAAAAGTCTTAAAGGCATTTGTGATAGCAGTGCCAAACAGTTATGTAGTCTGAGAGTAATATAACCCTATTGTGCTGCAAAATTTCAGTGCGTGTACATTGGCAACTATATTTGTAGCGGCTTCAGTAACTTTCAGTAGGCTCTTTATTGTCATTCAAATGAATAGCTTTAATCTTCATAATTTTTCATAGTACGCAGGGTGTTCATTCAAGGTGGTGGAATTGTCACTGACACTTATTTCTAAGGTATAGTGCAAAATAAAACGTAGCCAGACGTGGCAGCTTGCATTGGCTTAGTTATATTAAAACAAGCTGCCTTAAATGTATATGCTGCTGAAAAGGGAGAAGTGGAAGGAAGTGTTAGGCTGCATGTTGTAGGGGTGGCTAAGACCAGATGAGGTGGATGATGGGGAGGGAACCAGGCAGAATGAGGGTAAATTGTTTGTTCTAAACCTGTTCAACATTTAATGACCCCCAGTTTTCAGTATTGGTCCTATTTACTTGAATACTGTATAAATCACGCAGTTGTCTCCTCAAACCTCCTTTTCATCTCATTTTAAGAAGCTCCTGAGAACCTTTTAAGAAAGAGGGTGGGTTGGGCAATGTCATTGTGTGTATGTTCTGTGTCAGAGATGGGGCTGGAGGATGCCAGCTCTTTGCAGCTTTGACTGAAATATTCTGAACTCTTACCTATGTGTTGATTTAGTCCATGAGCTGCTTGGATAGTCCTTTTGTATGACATACTGACCATTGTACAACGGTGGGTACGTGGCTATTTAAATGCTATTTTGAAATTATGATGGCGACTGATTACATTAAAGGTTTGATTTACTTAACTTCTAGTATTTATGGAGTAGGAATTATTGTCAAATGTATATTAAGGTGATGCTCTATTACAAAATGTTTGGGTATCTTTTTATGATAAAATCTGTTCTCCACTGACAGGCAAAAATCAAAATACTAAAGAAAACAATGATTTCAGTGCCTGTTGGCAACTGCTTGTGGTCTTGGCATATCCACAAGGCAGTTGACTGGTTTAGCATGGTGTTAGTAACATCAGTTCCAGGTCAGAATAGCAAATTTGCTTTCCTGAAAACCTTAATTAAAACCTTAAATGTGCTAAAAGTTAGTGAATGCCATTTTTCTTTGTTTACAATTCAGAAATAACTTTTTGACATCTTTACCTGAGGAAATGGAAGCACTGACAAGACTGCAAATAATAAATCTTTGCTTTAATAGGTAAGTCCCCTTGCCGATAGGCCTACTATACATATTCACATATAACCAGAATTAGGCAAAAACATCATGTGATAATCTGTGTTTGAATCAATGTGCATGGAAAATAGAAATGGCAATGCTTTCCCTTCCTGAATACTAAAAAGCCTGTTCATTTGAGGGTTCAGAATCTGGTAGTAATGTAGTTTTTTTTCCAAGTCACTAATGAGAACAGTTGAGAGTAATTTGTGGTGTTACCTCATGTCATTGCTTTTTCCTGTTCTCCCAGAATTAGTTAGCACCTTAAAAGTTCAAAGAATTCTTCAAATATGTTAACTAAGGAATAGGGCTGCACTGCATGGCTTTTATGTAAGCAGATGCAAGTGCTTTTTACTTCTATCTGCTGATAATTAACAGAAATATTCTGTCATTGATTAGGGATGTAAGCGACTAGTCAACTATTTGATAAGCAAAAGTTTATCAGCTAGTCGGTACACTAGTCGACTAGTCGCTTCCCTCCTTTGCTGCCTCTATAGAGGCAGCAAGGGGAGAGGGAAAGGAGAGGGTCCTGGAGGGAGCCGGCTTGAAAGCTGGTTCCTTGCAGCAATGTGGGAAGGGACAGGGGCGCAGTGGTGGCCAACTTTGAAATGTAAAAGAATCCCCAGTGGGGGCTTTTGTTAATTTCAAAGAGGAAGTACAGCATGTAGCCTGGGGTCAGCAGGGCTCCCTGCTGGCCCCAGTCTCCACGCAGTGCTTCAATCTTTGAAATACACAAGAGTCCCTACTGTACATTTCAAAGGCGGAATGCAATAGTTCTTATCGACTAATTGAATAGTCAATGGGATTTCCATCGACTATTCTATTAATTGAAATTTAACAATCCTATCATTGGTGATGGGAATGGAAGGGAGCACCTGAGAGGAAAAATACACTGTGTTTGTGACTTTTTTTTTTTAAAGGGCATTTATGGGTAACTTTGAGAGTTTTGTGCCAGTCACTGGCTTCTGTAATGGGCATTTCGTGTAAAATCCTGGCCTTACTGAAGTCAGTGGAAGTTTTGACTTTGACTTCAATAGGGCCAGAACTTTACACTTTGTATTTTACCAGTAACAAATGATTTCCAGATTTGAGCTATCTATCAAAGCCTTTCACTTTCTTGCCTAGTAATGATCTTTCATCTCCCAGTTTTAGTTAGCAGTGGGTAATGCTTTTAGGAAGGAATGACTGCATCTTGGTTTGGAGCAGGTATGAACATTGGCAACTGTTGCCAAGCAGAGCTTTTCAGGGCAACCTGCTTCTTATCAAAATGTTACCACAAGAACCTGCCTGTTTGTTGTCCGTTTGGCAGTAAACAATGTTTGAAACTACAGCTGATCCCCGAGTTACGAATGGTCGATTTACGACCATTCATACTTACGACCAAAGCTCCCATTAAGCGGTCGTAAAGGCGGTTCCCGAGTTACGAACGCGACCTGCATTTACAAATAGCACGGGTGCATGTAAATGAATGGGGTCCTACTTACGAACACTTTGAGTTATGACCAAGTGTTTGGTCCGTAATTCATTTGTAAGTTGGGTCCGGCTGTACAGATTTTGATTCTTCCCTTCCTTTCGCACAAAAATCACTTCAGGGGGCCCCACACAAGTGAGAAGGGGGGGAAAAAAAAAGGACACACAGTTCCGAACTGAGAGAGAGACATTCCCCTAGCACACCAGAGCAGTTGGGGTGTGGGAGAGGGCTGGAGTGCAGCTGTGGGGGGAGCCCTGAGCCCCTACTGTCCATTTAAAAGATTTTGATGCTTTCTTTTGCAGATGGCACTGCTCTGTGCTGGTTAGTTTCGTGTAATTGTCAGCCCATTTTAAAATAGGAGCCAGTTCTACAAGAAAATATTAATTGTCTCTTGTGTCTGATTCCAGGCTTTTTCATTGAAAGCATATATCAGTTTGCTTAAATGAATATGGAAGTCAGCACCTTGCTGGATTAGGCCCTCTGTGAACAGTGTGAATAGGGGAGCCTAAGGCCCAGAGGCTGCATCCAGCCCCCGGCTTGCCTGGATCTGGCCCCCGAGGCTCAGGGCTCCCCCCCCAGCTGCACTTTAACCCCCTCCCCCAACTGCTCTAGGGGAATGTCTCTTTCTCAGTTTGGGGGGGCACGTCCTTTTTTTTTTTTTTTTTTTTTTTTTTTCCTCTTCTCTTCTCACTTGTGTGCAGGCCTCTGTCCCACAGAAAAATCACTTCAGGGGGCTGCACACAAGTGAGAAGAGAAAGGGGAAAAAAAAGCAAAACCAAAAAGGGTTTCCCACTCTGGTCTGAAGGAACTTTCTTCAGTAGTCGATACCCAGTACTAGTGGTGGTTCATAAAGATGCTAGTTTTCTTTACCTATGCTGGTGCCATTTGAGGCCACACTTTGGGGTCAAAGCAGTTTACAAAGATGTGCAATGAGATTTGTAGGCATACACTTCTGCATCTACCAGATAGTGCTTTTTCCCCCCCAAATAACTTATTGCTGCAGCAAATGGCTGTTTCTTGCAGGGATCAATATATGTCCCTGGTTCCGGGGACACAATTGTTATTTAGTAATAAGCAGATATAGGTAGATTAAAAACTGCAATTTAAAAAGATTCTGAATCATATTTATTCTCAAATTCCCATCTAATTTTTGATGCTGCAAAGAATGGCAGGCTTCTCATGCCTTCCTTCACGAGTGATTCTTTCCTCCAGGAATCCCAGTAATATATATGGTGAAAACCAGCATGGCTGTCTCCATTGCTCCAATCCAGCCTGCTGCTGCCTCCCAAAATCTGTGCCTAAAGATTTTAAAAAACAGAGTATTTCTCTCTCTCTCTTAAAACATTTCTCTTGCTCTGGCTACCCTTGCTGTAGTGAGACACTTGAAAATGTTGCCACTGAGAACGCAAAATAAAAATGAGTGGGATGAGAGACACTCCCCCCACACACTCAAACCCATAGTGAATTCAGATTAGATCTGTAACATCTCAGTGTTTTCCAGAGAGAAAAAAAAAATGAACTGTGGAGTAGAAGTAATTTTCCTTTTACTAAGCCAATCAAGACACATTTTGTTTAATAAAGGATTATTTTAATTGCTATTTTTTAAAAATGACTAAGTGAAGATTTGTTTTGTTTTTAAGCAGTATTGAAGGTTCTTCCTTTATTATTATTTAAAAGGAAAACACTCTTTTTGGAACCAAATCTTGCCTTTGCTTTAATTAATGAAAACAAGCTGTGAAAATGGTAGGGTGATTTAGTTTTTTCAAATCACTGGGTGCTATGCATTTTGCTAGAAATACAGCTGTTGGTATTTAGTAGAATCTATAAATAGTTTTCAAATAAGTATTTCTGAAACATTTTTAAATTGTATGGTGCAGAAGATCCATCCCTAGGGTTTCAGAGCTGCCTTAGTCAGCTGTCACCTTAAGGGAGAAGTGGGTGGATAAAATGATGGAAGATTACAAGTAATGAAGCTTCTACTTAATTTCTTTGTTCCATAGATCATCAACATGGTGTCTATAAATGCAAAATAAAAAATAGTCATAACTGTGGTAGGATTTGGGGTGAGGGTTAATATCTGAGGCTATGTCTAGACTACACCGATCTATCAGAAAAAGGTATGCAGATTGCCAGGACTTGCTGAGCAGCGGCGAGCCCCACTCGCCAGCTGCGCGGTTCTGCGTTCTGCACATGCACAGATCGTTCTGCGCCTGCTCTTCCGGGGTGTAATCTTGTTGAGCCCTGCAGATTGCAGTCCGCAATTGGCGTACCTTTTTCCAATAGTTTTTTCGGAAGAGGCTTTTCTGAAATTTGGCCTGTCTACACTGGGCCAAATTTTGGAAAATCCTCTTCTTTTGGAAGAGCCCTTCTTCCTTGTGGAAGGAGGAAGACCGGGCTTCTGAAAGAACATGTCTTCTCTTCCTCCAACAACAACAACAACAACAACAAAAAGCGGAAGACTAGGTGTCCCGGAAAACCCCGCAGTGTAGACATAGCCATAGTGACAATTTTTAATGGGTATAAAAAAACAAGCAGGATTAAGCTTGGAGGGAATGTAATGAATGAGTTTACAAGAACTATTCGCTTAGACCAGTGGTCTCCAACCTTTTTACACCCAAGATCACTTTTTAAATCTCAGAACAGGTGAAGATCTACAGCCCCGCCCCTTCCTTGGAGCCCCGCCCTCTCTATTCTCCTCCTGTCCATCACTTGCTATCCCCAGCCCTTACTTACACTCTCTGATAAACAGTTTATTTTTAAATTATGCGATATATAAAATTAAAATCATGTGTTTATAGTTATGAAATAAATGGTCTGTTTTTTATTCATGCTATTTAAATCTAAAATGAAGCATTTATAATTATACATTTTGTGGGGATAGAGTTCTGTGGGTGGGGGCAGGGGAGAGGGAACAGGGTGCTGGGAGGGCAGAGTACAGGGTTCTGCAGCAGGAGACAGAGTGCCAGTAGGGACAGAGTTCAGGGAGTGGGGATGGAAATGGGGACAGTTCTGTAGCTGAGGAGTGGGGTTTAGGGAGCAGGGAGTGCAGACAGGGGGCGGGGTGCCAGTGGCAGCAGAGAGTCCCCTGCATCTGCCGCCTCCCAGGATTCTCCCCCTGCCCCTGAGGGAAGCCTCCTCTGGCCCCCACTCCTCCCCCCCCCGGG